TTCTATCACCTTGTCCTCATGTTCCAAACTTCTTTATGTGACCTAGATCGATTTTTTAAACCAAAAGATACTGGATATCTTGATGTCACGTCGATTCTTCGATACTCGTGTCCGAATGTTTCCGACGTTTTGATGTCCCGTACAAATTTATTTTCCCATGCCTACCCCCCCCCCCCCCAGATGTATTTCCAATTGAAAACCATTATAGACGTTTTGATGTACAATAAATCTTTCTGTTCATTCATCCAAATATCCCAGGTAATTTTATTTGTCTTAGATTTTATATTCTCTTGTACACAAGGTCAATGACGTCTTGATGCCCCATAGATATTCCTTATACAAGTTCCTGACGTTTAGATTAGGGCCTCCAATCCCGGTACATATTTTCAATCCCGGGATTGAAAAACATTTTCGTCTTTCTACGCCAAGAGGTATATCATTTCGTTCGTTATATATTCGAGTCAAGCCAAGATTCCACACCTTGGTACGGCTATGAATATTAATGTTCAGGTAACGCTTGCTTCTGATTGACGTCCATTCATCCAGCGTAAGGCTGAAAAGTTGCCCCTTTTCTTTCTCCATCTGAAGCTCTCGAACGACCTTCTCACGAAATGTGTCCGCATAACGACACACTTTAATCTTAATGGTCTCTGCGGAGAGAGGAATTTCATGTCCAAGAGCATTGAGGCACTTGCGTAGATTCTTAGATGTGACAAAAACGGAGAATGGCAATCCGTCGAGAGCAATCATTCTAGCTAGCACAGCATCAGTCGATCGCTCGATGGAAACAGACGAAAAATGATCGAGAATTGATATCTTGGGGGTCTTTTTTTGCAGGGGTCTGTGTATCAACTTCGTCTTTAACTTTTCTCTTCGAAGTTTCGATTCCGTGGACCGCCTTCTGGTTGACATGCAGCCCTTTTGTTGACCCACCGACGCATTTCAAAATCTTTTTGCACGCTATACACTGTGCATTTTGGCCAGATCCGTCTCGTAGGTAATAGCACCAGATTCCTTCTGATTTAAAAGGAATAAACTTCGTCATCACAATCAAGAAGTGATAAGCTTACCAAAATGTCCGACGCGTTTTCTATAGAGAAATAACAAGGTCCGATAATATTGTTTTAGAGACTTTGTTTTATGTTCGTATAAGTTGAAAACTACTTTAGGCTGATGATTGATAGTGACGAAGCATTTATTGAAATGACATTAAATAAATTTAATTTAAATTTAATGGCAAAAAAAGCTAGCGAGAGGTACCCAAAATGAACAGCAGAGCAGTGCGTTCATGATGACCCATGCATACAGAGTACAGAATGGAGAAATGAAGCTGTATAAACAAAACGTCAAAAGTGTGCTATCTCATCATTTGTTTGATTACAAAAATGCTAGATAAGAAAAATATATTTTTGCGCTGGTTTATACACAAATCAGTAATCCCGGGATTTTTCGAGCAAAATCCCAGGATTTCGGGATCATTATTTGGCTCCGGGATCCCGGGAAGCGGGATCCCGGGATTGGAGGCCCTAGTTTAGATGTCCAAGTAGATCTCTTGTCTCGATGTCCCGTAGATATTTCAATTCTCCTTTTCACACTTTCCAGACCCTTTGATATCCAGGAAAAATTTCTATTATCTTGTTCACGGGGTCATGGAAGAATTTATATTCCGTAGAAATTTCTACTCCCTTGTCCTCAAGTTCAAGACGTCCAGATTCCTCGTAGATCTTTCTATTTTCTTGTTCGCATGTTTTGTTGTCCCATCGATCTTTCTAATCTTTTATCCACACTTTCCAGACGACTTGAAGTCCGGAGATTTTTATTTTCTTGTCTACACGTTTCATACGTTTTAATATCCCGCAGTTCTTTCTATTTTCTTTTCTACACGTACAAAGCGTTTTGATATACCATAGATCTTTCTATTCTCCTGTCTCCACAAGATCCTGTACACCTTGATGTGTACTGCATATACTTCTATTTTTTTGTCCATATGTTCCAGATAGCTTTATGAACTGTAGATCTTTATATTACTTAGTCCACGTGACCCTAGGCGTCTTGTTGTCCAGTTGATCATTGTATTATTTTCCTCATACTTATCAGTCATTTAAATGTTCCACAGAATTCCACATATTTTTCTTTCCTCATATCCACAAAGTCTAGGACGTCTTTATAACCGGAAGACCTATTTTTTCTCTTACCCACATTTTATTCACATCTTGGTATTCCTTTTATATTTCTATTCTCTTGTCCACAAGGACCTTGATGTCTTGATATCAGAAGATTTTTCGATTCTTTTGTTCACATGTTCCCAACCTTTTGGTGCCTTAGTATATGATACTATTCTCTTGATCACTTTACCAGGCGTCTTGATGTCTCTTAGATATTTTAATATTATTTTTTTATCCCTCTCTTAGAATGTTCTTTTCTCTTGTCCACACATTCCATATGTTTCGATGTCCTTGAGATCTTTTTAATCTTTTAACTACAAAGTTCTGTAGATTTTGATTTATGGTAGATCTTTTTATTCTCTTGTTCGCATGTTCAGGACGTATTTTGATTACCAATAAAATTTCTATTATCTCTTGTTTACAAGGTCCTAAGATTAGTGTTTTCCTCTTGTCTGCATGTCTCGCACGTTTTGATGTCCATACATATTTATATTCTCTTGCCTATATGTTCCAATCGTTCAGATGTCCCCCGTAGATATTTATTTTCTCATGTCCACTAGTTAATGGATGTCTTAATATCGACACAGATCTTTCAATTCTCTTTTACACAAAATACAGAAAGTCTTTATGTGTCAGGAAAGGTTAATCTTTCAATTCTCTTATCCCATTTTGCAGATGTCTTGATGTCTTCTTTTTTCACACGTTCTAGACGTTTTAATTTACCGTAGATATTGCTATTATTTTGTCTACACGCTAACATGTCTTGATGTACCGTAGGGTTTCTATTTTCTTAGCGACACCTTCCAAACGTTCTGATATCCCTTGGAACTTTCTAATTTCTTGCCGTCAAAGTTTTGTATGTTGTGATGTCCGGCAGATATTTATATTCTCTTGTCCGCATGATCCTGTACTTCTTGATGTCCCGTCGATCTTTTTATTCTCTTGTCCACATTTTTCTGACCTATTTCTGTCCATTAAATTTTTCTATATTCTTGTCTACTTGTTCCTGTCGTTTTGATATCCCGTAGATATTTCTATTGTCTTGTTCTCACATTCCAGAGGTCGTGAAATTTCGCAGATCTTTCTATTCTCTATCATCTACTTGTTCCATCCGTCTTGATGTTCCATTGATCACTCTATTGTCTTGTCCACAAGATGCTGGACGTCTTGATGTACTGTCGATCTTTCTATGTTCTTGTTCACCTCTTCCATAAGTCTTGGTACCCTGTACTTATTTATATTCTGTGAAAAAATATTACAAAAGTGTGAAATTATATTATATTCAGGTAAATAAATTAATGAAAAGGCAAATACCGCCAGTTTCATTGAATATTTTCAAAACAAGTATGAACTACAAGTTCTAACCACTGAGGCAGAACAAACCATTGCATAAGGTCTAGAGTGAACTACCGAAACTACCTAAAGGGTTTAACAAAAATGAGCTTCTTGACTATCTCTTTATTTATGATCCAGAAGAGGATCGGACTCGGGGCGGTGAAATCTTCCCACCATGGATTAACTACAATGCTACACAACCCTAGACCATATTTTCTCATGTAGGAGTTGGACCATAGTGCTCTTTTTCTTTTTTTTTTCGAAATTAAGTAAATTATCTTATTACCTAGAGTTGTAAAATACCACTTTAGAATAATGAAAAGTGTTTACAGGGAAAGGCTAGATACCTCTCATGTTAAGCTATAGATACAAAAACTAGGATTTTCGGTCTTGGTAATCTACCAGAGGTATATCACCAACAACCTCCTGGAAACCAACATTTATAAAATTCCGAGTTATGACCAGAACGGGTGTCGATTTTATGATATCTACAAGGAAATCGTGAAATCTTCCGAATTTACCAAAGAGATAATTAGTTTGCAAAATTACTGAGCCATTTCAATGGAGAAAATTGCAAAGAATCTTATAAGCCTTTTTTTTTTTTGTAATTCTACAATTCCAAATGCAATTACGTCCAGTTTCATTGAATATTTTCAAAACAAGTAAAAAAAAAAAACAAGTTCTAACCATAGAGAAAGAACAAACTATTGCACAAAGTCTAGAATGTACTACCGAAACTACCTGAAAGATATTTGTAAATTGGTCCAAAGATGGCGCATAGTTTTTAACACTATTTTGAAAGGGGAGAATCATCTCCTTTTTAGGAGAAAAAATGGTTTTTCTGCAGAGTTTCGTTTCAAATAATTATCTCAGGGATTTTTGTTTGCTTGAAAAGTTGATAGCGAGCTTTTTTGGAAATTTACTCATCTTTTCAAAAATCCTACTAAAACATCTGACTATAAATCACTGTATTAGAGCTTTAATTGGATTATATATATTCTGACATTTTTTCACTTTATTCTAATATTTCATCTCTAAATCATTATATTTTGATTGAATTATATAAAATCCTGGCGAGAAATACCTTGAGAAATGGAAATCTAAAAGTCTTATAGTCAACTACTGCCATCTAGCGACAATGTAACGAAATATTTTCAACCGAATGAACTTTTCGTCGCTTTTTTCAGTTACTATTAAAACGTCTATATTATTTAATATGACGCACATTTCAAAAAATATTACTTAAAAACAAATAAATTTAAAATAGACATTTGTGCGTACATATATATCATATACTAGACGAATGGCCCGGGCAACACCCGGGTTTTACCCGAGTGCGAATATATTTTAAAAACGTTTTAATTCAAATACAATTCGTTACAATTATAAATTGGCGCCATGGATGTCACTCTTGTGAAACGTCCCGTTCCAAACTGTGTGTTTTTAAAATGTTTTAACTATATATAATATAACGGTATAATAACGGTATAAAGAAATATTGAGCCTATAGCCTAGTGGTCACGGCATCTGCCCGGTAAGCGGAAGGTCGTCGGTTCGATTCCCATCCCTTGACGCTTTTTTTATTTTATTTATTCTGACCAAAATCTATCCGTGAACTTCACACAGACAGAATAAGGCAATTATATAAGTAGACTGCCCGGTAAGCGGAAGGTCGTGGGTTCGATTCCCATCCCTTGACACTTTTTTTATTTTATCCATTCTGACTAAAATCTATCCGTGAACTTCACACAGACAGAATAAGGCAATTATATAAGTAGACTGCCCGGTAAGCGGAAGGTCGTGGGTTCGATTCCCATCCCTTGACACTTTTTTTATTTTATCCATTCTGACCAAAATCTATCCGTGAACTTCACACAGACAGAATAAGGCAATTATATAAGTAGATCTTCATCTTGTCTACACCTTGTATACATCTTGCTTCCTAGGGTTGCCTAGAGTGGCCGCTATAGACAGGGTGGTCTGTATAGACAGGTGGATGTATCACACAGCTGATAACAGGGTTGCCTAGAGTGGCCGCTATAGACAGGGTGGTCTGTATAGACAGGTGGATGTATCACATAGCTGATAACAGGGTTGTCTAGAGTGGTCGCTATAGACAGGGTGGTCTGTATACACAAGTGTATGTATCACACTGCTGATAACAGGGTTGCCTAAAGTGACCGCTATAGACAGGGTGGTCTGTATAGACAGGTGAATGTAACACACTGTTGATAACAGGGTTGCCTAAAGTGACCGCCATTGACAGGGTGGTCTGCATAGACAGGTGGATGTATCACACAGCTGATAACAGGGTTGTCTAGAGTGGCCGCTATAGACAGGTGTATATATCACACAGCTGATAACAGGGTTGCCTAGAGTGGCCGCTATAGACAGGGTGGTCTGTATAGACAGGTGGATGTATCACACAGCTGATAACAGGGTTGTCTAGAGTGGTCGCTATAGACAGGGTGATCTGTATAGACAGGTGTATGTATCACACAGCTGATAACAGGGTTGTCTAGAGTGGTCGTAATAGACAGGGTGGTCTGTATAGACAGGTGGATGTATCACACAGCTGATAACAGGGTTGTCTAGAGTGGTCGCTATAGACAGGGTGGTCTGTATAGACAGGTGTATGTATCACACTGCTGATAACAGGGTTGCCTAAAGTGACCGCTATGGACAGGGTGGTCTGTATAGACAGGTGAATGTACACAGCTGATAACAGGGTTGTCTAGAGTGGTCGCTATAGACAGGGTGGTCTGTATAGACAGGTGTATGTATCACACAGCTGATAACAGGGTTGTCTAGAGTGGCCGCTATAGACAGAGTGGTCTGTATAGACAGGTGGATGTAACACACTGCTGATAACAGGGTTGTCTAGAGTGGTCGCTATAGACAGGGTGGTCTGTATAGACAGGTGTATGTATCACACTGCTGATAACAGGGTTGCCTAAGGTGACCGCTATAGACAGGGTGGTCTGTATAGACAGGTGAATGTAACACACTGATGATAACAGGGTTGCCTAAAGTGACCGCCATAGACAGGGTGGTCTGTATAGACAGGTGGATGTATCACACAGCTGATTACAGGGTTGTCTAGAGTGGCCGCTATAGACAGGTGTATGTATCACACAGCTGATAACAGGGTTGCCTAGAGTGGCCGCTATAGACAGGGTGGTCTGTATAGACAGGTGTATGTATCACACTGCTGATAACAGGGTTGCCTAAAGTGACCGCCATAGACAGGGTGGTCTGTATAGACAGGTGAATGTAACACACTGATGATAACAATGTTGCCTAAAGTGACCGCTATAGACAGGGTGGTCTGTATAGACAGGTGGATGTAGCACACTGCTGATAACAAGGGTGTCTAGAGTGGCCGCTATAGACAGGGTGGTCTGTATAGACAGGTGGATGTAACACACTGCTGATAACAGGGTTGTCTAGAATGGCCGCTATAGACAGGTGTATGTATCACACAGCTGATAACAGGGTTGTCTAGAGGGGTGCAGGGAGGTCACGTGTTCGTCGGCAGCCAATGGGCGCGCATTCTATCCGTGAACTTCAGACAGTGAACTTCAGACAGACAGAATAAGGCAATTATATAAGTAGATACACACAACTCCGCCTTTGCCGATCCCAAACCCGGATGAAAAATGGAGGGGAAGCAGTAACAAGCTCACTAAAAAAACCTAGGCTCAGCTGGCCCGGCTGATAGTACCCTGTAAGGACTCCTGATCCACGTATACAGGATTAGCAGCGTTTGTACTTCATGTTAGGAGCGGCTGCACATGGCGTCTGTTCCTCATGTCAGAGGCGGCCATTTCTTTTGGAGCTAAGTCGGCCTGCCACTGAGTAGTGCTCCCAGTCTCACTGACAAAGGCAGATGCATTCTACTTCACCCAGTGTGGAGATAAGAAAGAAGAAGAAGATATTTACACACATTTGTTCATATCTAAAGTGATATATTTTTGTAAAAACGATCATTTTAACGAAAGAATACTTGAGAATATAAAGATTAAGTAGAAATAAAAAAAAAACACAAGGAGAAATGACAGAAATAATCACACACGTTCCATTATTTTGTTTTGTCCAACAAGGGAAATTGCAAACCCTTCGAAGACAATGACAATTAATATAATTTTATTGACATAATACATGCAAAATTGTACAGTCTGAACTATTGTTTTAAATTAATAATTAGATAAAAGGTTTCTCGATTATTCTTTTTTACAAATTATTTATTTTGTTACTCCCTGATTTTAATATTCATTTCCACGTGCACAACGAAATAGTATTTTCTCTTTAATTTGATATTAACTTGAAAATCATGATTAACAAATCAATGTCAAGATAATAATTGAATTGTATTAGAGCTCTTAATCAATTTACTTCTCCTATTCAATTTGTGAATTTTTAAGATGATAGAAGAAAACTAATAATGATCGCTTTGATGTAAAAAAAAAAAAACACTGTAAATAATTCATAGTATTTAAAAAATAATAGTTATCACCATGTTTGTTTATGTTTTTAGATAGAAACAGCTCAAACAATCGCCTCTCTATATATTGTAACAAAGTATTTATTAATTTTATTATTTTTATCAACAGAGTGGTTATTTTCATGATTATATTTTGCTACTCTGTAAATTTCTATTGTGGCTTATCTTTTGTTTACCATTCATAGTTTGTCCTTGCCTGAAATAAATTGTTGTCTCATCTTGAAATTTTTGTCTTCCCTAATTTTCCACGCGGCAATATATATATACTTATTCAATAAAGAAAAATGAAAATTGTACATGAGGTACTTCTTTCAATTCTGCTAACAAGAGTTTTAATATATTATAAAATAAATAAAGCTTCCAGGCTACGCTACTCCCTACGGCTGGGATTCGAACCCATTGCCTCCCGAAAGAAACTGGCACGCGGGGTCCTAGCCACAAAGTGGGATACCTCAACTGTAAGCCCCTAGAAGAGACAAACAATACTTGGTATCCTTAAACCTTTACTTCTATATAAAAAAAAAGTATACCAAACAGCAATCCATTTACCTCTTAAACACATAGGGAACGTTATAGGATGCCTTAAAGTTCTTGTTTAGTCCTTATTGAGTCTTTTGTTTCTGTGTTGTACATCTTGATGAATTGTTAGCCATTTTAGTAACTTGGCACCATTTGAAAGGCTTCACAATTCTCTTAAAAATTCGTCGAATTTCTTAATGTCTTGTAGATCTTTCTATACACATGGCCAACATGTTACAGTTGGCTTGAAGTCCCGTAGGTATTTCTACTCTCGTGGTCATACGTTCTAGATGTCTTGAAGTCCCGTATATATTTCTACTCTCGTGGTCATACGTTCTAGATGTCTTGAAGTCCCGTAGGTATTTCTAACCTCGTGGCCATAGGTTCTAGATGTCTTGAAGTCCCATAGGTATGTCTACTCTCGTGGTCATAGGTTCTAGATGTCTTGAAGTCCCGTAGGTATTTCTACTCTCGTGGTCAAACGTTCTAGATGTCTTGAAGTCCCATAGGTATTTCTACTCTCGTGGTCATACGTTCTAGATGTCTTGAAGTCCCGTAGGTATTTCTACTCTCGTGGTCATAGGTGCTAGATGTCTTGAAGTCTCGTAGGTATTTCTACTCTCGTGGCCATACGTTCCAGATGTCTTGAAGTCCCGTAGGTATTTCTACTCTCGTGGCCATACGTTCTAGATGTCTTGAAGTCCCGTAGGTATTTCTACTCTCCTGGCCATACGTTCCAGATGTCTTGAAGTCCCGTAGGTATATATTTTCTCGTGGCCATACGTTCTAGATGTCTTGAAGTCCCGTAGGTATTTCTACTCTCCTGGCCATACGTTCCAGATGTCTTGAAGTCCCGTAGGTATATATTTTCTCGTGGTCATACGTTCTAGATGTCTTGAAGTCCCGTAGGTATTTCTACACTCCTGGTCACATATTCTAACCGTTCTGATGACCTGTAGTACTTTTATTTTTGAGTCCAAACGTTCCAGACGTATTGACATCATGGATATCTTTCCTCACGCCTGTCCAAATGTTCAAAATTTTAATAATTTCCGTAGATCTTTCTTTTTTTCTACACGTTCTAGAAGTTTTGTTGTTCCGTAGATCTTGCTATTATCTCGTTCTCGCGTTCAAGACGCCTTGATGTCCAGTAGATATTTCTATTCTTTTTCACAAGATCCGAGGCGACCTATTGCCCATTGTTGTTTATATTTTCTTTTCCTCAAGCACAAGACGTTTTGTGTTTCTATTCTCTGGTCTACAAGGTTCTGAACGTCTTGATATCCGGTAAATCTTTCTATCACCTTGTCCTCAGGTTCCAAACTTCTTTATGTGACCTAGATCGATTTTTTTAACCAAAAGATACTGGATATATTGATGTCACTTCGATTCTTTGATACTCGTGTCGGAATGTTTCCGACGTCTTGATGTCCCGTACAAATTTATTTTCCCATGCCTCCTCCCCCCCCCCCCCCCCCCCAGATGTATGTCCAATTGAAAACCATTATAGACGTTTTGATGTACAATAAATCTTTCTGTTCATTCATTCACAT